AATCCAATCCAAATCCCATGGAATCCAAATCCCTCAAGGGAATCCAAATCCCTCAAAAACATTCCCGCAAACCAAACGCACCCTTATAGTATCTGCTCAAGGCCTTATGTAGTGCCAACAAGCACTGGTTCAAGCTCTTCAGCATGACACTATTTTCTTACAATCACCACAAGGGATTGTCACTTGGCAATCAAAGTTGTTAAAGCCTCAAGGTGTACTTAGATGCAAGGGGGTCCCGGGGCCTAGGCACGAGGCGCAGTCATGAGGGGCGAGTCTTAGGATTGTGAGGCTCATCTTATCAACTATGTTGTTAAAATCGCGATATATCATCGATATATCGGATATCGGACTTGAGCAAAAAATAGCTGGTGAAATATCGGTCAAAATATCGGTCCCGATAATATCGCCGAAATTTCCCGATATTTACCGATATTCTGATAGATATATCGGTCAGATATCCCGATTTTTATAAGACAATTATTTGGGCTTTTGTTATTTCATGGGCTTAGTTTTTTGGGCTTGGTCACATATATTAGGTCTCAAATTAAAAGTCTGACTTCTTTTCTAACGTCTCCTTCATCTTCACACCAACGGTCTTCTTCCTTTCTTTTCATCTTCACGACTTCATAGACACGAGTTCACGACTTCTCATGGTTTGGCTTCTTTCTTTTCTCGGTCTCCTCTAGTCTACTTACCAAGTTCTACAGCCACAGCAGCAACCGACAGCAACCGTTGAATGTTGATACAACTGACAGCAACAGCAACCAACAGCAACAGCAGCCACAACTATTGAATAATTGATACAGCACTTCAGCAGCAACTGTTAATCTTGATTCTTGGTCCTTGTCCTCTCCTCGTCCTCAACACAGCCTCCTGAGTTCTGGCTCCTCGTGACTCCCTCAATTCAGCCTCCAACAGTTCCTGGTCCAGGTCTTACTCTTATGTCCTAACTCCTAAGTCCTAACACCCACCCACTCACTTAATTATTCTTATTTGACTAGGTCAGAACTTAATTACCATAATTTACTTATTTTTGTTGTTAAAGCTTAACTAAAAAAAGCAATGGAAAGTAGAGAAGGGGGTCAATCTTCAAGGGCATCTGTGACCCCGGTTACTACTAATACTACTTCATCAGAAGCGGGTACAAAATGCATCAATGGCGATATGGCTTGGGAATGGGGGGGTATGGAAAGATCCAACCAAAAAAAAATGTATGGTGTACTTTATGTGATAAAAAAATCAGTGGGGGGATCACTAGGTTGAAAGAACACCTTACTCACACCGGAGGTAACGTGATTGGTTGTCCTAATGTGAGTAACGACATCAAAAAAAGAGTTCTAGCATCAATTAGTGAAAATAATAAGAAAAAGAAAGAAATAGAAATGTAGAAATCCTCCGACAATATTCGGTTGAAGTTGATGATATCGATGATATTGATGAGGATGAGCAAGAAGTAGATGGAAAAGAGATTATCGAAGGAGGAAGAGCATGAGCACAAGCCGGAATGCCACCTCGTGGTTTGAAAAGAAAGCCCGCTAGTGATGTTCGCGGGCCTCTTGATGCAATGTTGAAGCCCGATTATGCCAAGATAAAGCAAGCCACTTTAGATAGAAACAATCCAATCAAAGAGAAGTTAAAGTTGGCCGCTTGGAAAGAGTTTGCGATTTGGGCATATTCGGTTGGGTTGCCGTTCAATGCCGTGCAAGATGAGAACTTTCAAAAGTTCATAAATGCGGTTAGAGAGTATGGAAGAGGTAATTACCATTTCAAATTTTGAATATATTTCTCAAAGGTTAATTACTAAGTATCAACTTTATTCCTATCGTTGGTAGGCATGCCGGCTCCAAGTTATCATAATATTCGTGTCACATTGTTGAAAGATGTACTTGAGGACACTAACAAGTTTGTGGATTCCTTCCGTTCACACTGGAAGAAGAGTAAATGCATTATTATGTCCGGTTTTTGGACAGACGGGAAAGGGAGAAGCTTGATCAATATTTTGGTCAATTGTCCACAAGGAACAATTTTTTTGAAATCAATTGATGCATCGGAGCATGTGAAAAATGTTCAATTAATTGTACAGGTGATCAATGAGGTTATAGAGGATGTCGGGGAGGAGAACATCGTGCAGGTAACACTATATTAAGTATTAACATTATTCTACACACACACACACACACACACACACATATATATATATATATATATATTGAAGTAGTGACTAGTGACTAATTGTTTTTTACTTATACTAGTTTGTCACCGATAATGGGTCCAACTTAAAAATTGCGGGAAAATCTTGGAAGAACATCCTCAGATGTTTTGGACACCATGCGCAGCACATTGCGTGAATCTTATGCTAAGAGATGTCGGAGAGAAAATTCCAAAGATTAAAAGTGTGTTGGTTGATGCGAGAGCGGTAGTGGTTTATATTTATAACCACGGAAGGATTTTGAATATGATGCGAAAGCTTACTAAAAATAGAGAAATGCATAGGTCATGTGTTACAAGGTTCGCAACACAATTCTACACCATTCAGAGCATCCATGAGAATCGGCATCATCTCCAAGTGCTATTTGTTTCTGAACAATGGAGGAAGAGTGACTTTGCCAAGAAAGCCATCGGAAAAAGAATTAAATGAATAACAGCTAAGCAAGAGTTTTGGGACAATAATTATCTTGCTTGTCAGGTATTGGCACCATTGGTTGATGTTGTTCGGTTGGTTGATACGGGGGAGAAGCCGTGTATGGGCTATATATACGATGCTATGGAGAGAGCTAAAGATCAAATTAAGAACTTGACTAGCACCGTTCACGAAAGACTGATCACTAAAGTGTGGTCAATGATTCAAGCACGATGAAGTGACCAACTTCATCATCCTTTGCATGCCGGTATAATTTATAAAACATTGCTATGTTTTATTTATTTAATTTTTAAATTTAATACAATTATTGGTATTAACTTTTAGTATATTTGTAGCCGGATATTACCTCAACCCCGCCATTTATTATGCACAAGATTCGGAAGTTGAGAATAATAGATACATTAAGACGGGACTATACGAGGCAATTGACCGACTTGTGCGTGATGAAGAAAGAAATGATACTTTACGGATGGAACTCAATCAATATGTCGAGACATCAGGGCAATTTGGATCTGCAAGAGCTAAAGTAGCACCACGTAAGTATGATAATAGGATATAATCATACTATATATATATATATATACATATATACATATGCAAAAGTTTATTTGTGTTTTTTATTAACTTAATATACCTATAAAACGTAGATGTATGGTGGCGTTCTTATGGCATCAACACACCCATGCTCCAACAATTTGCGATTAGTGTTCTAAGCCAAACCTGTAGCGCTTCTCCTTGTGAGAGAAATTGGAGTGCATTTGATCATGTAAGTTTTCTTTGTTATGGAAAATATATTAACTCAAATCAAACTTAAATTCAAGTTATGGTTTTAAATTTATCAATTATCATTTCAGTTGAACTGTAAGAAGAGAAATTGCCTTTTGCAAAAGAAGTTGAATGATCTTGTCTTCATTCAATATAACAAAAGATTGGAGAGGCGCTACAAATCTCTTAAGGATAACAAGTCTTCAAATCCTATTTTCTTGAGAGATATTGAAGAAAATGATGATTGGGTGGTTCCAACCGACGTTGAGCTCCAAGAGTTTGTGGATGCAAGATTGGGAGGTAATGAAGAAGTTGGACCAAATACAAGAAGTAAAAGGCAACGCTATAGAGATGATGATCATCATCATCATGTTGGAGATGGAGGGGAAGAAGTGGAAGATTGGGAAGCTAA